CCCCAGAAGACGAAAACGGTACCCCACAGCATCGCTATAGTTAGACTTACTTTGACAGACGACACTTTCACAGAGACGCTCGCTGATGGACTTTGTGCCAGTTGTTTCCGAGTTTTGTAGAGGAGTAAGGCCAACATCGCCGTGTTCCCAACGAACGCTATGGCTGTTGTTATACTGACAGTTCCACTGACGGCTAAATACACTGGCTGAGACATCAGAGTAGCTAAGCAACCATCTTGGGGTTCCTTTATGTACTTGTAGGTGATTCCCGCGGAGAAGGAGACCGCAGGGATGAGATAGGACAAGATCACGAAAAACGCCGTTGGCTTCTTGTTGACCTTCATGGTCAAATCCAAGGGATACCATACTATAGTGAGTTGGTGGTATACGAGCGAGGTAGTAGCCATCAGAGGCAATAGAGTGAAATAACTCATCAGACAAACGGTAAACCTCTCAAGGCAAGCTAAGTTTATTAAACCAACTGGGGTTTTCTCGTCGAAATCATGGGCAGTCGGTTCTTCACCAAATGCCATACTTGCCATACTTGTAAAGGGTCTTGTCAACCTACCCAAGGCTGCCAACGAAATGCTGTTCATTAGTACGGCGATCACTGATAGACTAAGTAGGGTCTCCCGCGACGGTGGTAAAAGAGCTTGTTCCAACTGCGAGGTGTAGATCTCAAAATCAGACGAATTCAACATTTTGAGTTTGGTCAGTGTCAGCCACGGAGGTATATCCTACTAAAACTCACGTGGAAGTGATCGGCTTAAATACAGGTTTGATCTAAATACAGAATTTGGTAAGCAGCAGTATAAGTAACCTGTTATTGAGGATAATAGACGAGTAAAAATACAAGTGATGCATTTTTACCAGACTTCTTTCATAAATGCCGTTTTCTTCGTCATCAATGCTATTTGCAAAATTAGGAATAATTGGAATAATTCAAAGTCATATCTAGGCTGAAGATAATAACCAAAAATCCTCGTATCGATTCGGATAGCGGGTTTTCTCCTACTGTCACAAATAAAAGCAGTCTACGGGTTTCCGTCATTAAGGGCTATTTGGTGTTACATGAAGAAGTCTTCAAGATTTGATCACTATTAGTAAATTATTTTTTTCCTTTTTGCTTAAGATTTGTATAATATTTGTGAATATCTTTGGTTTTTAATATTGTCACAAATCACCTGTTCTTGTGACCCAGAAACATTTTAGTTTTATGTTCTTTTTATTAGTTTTATCATGCCATTATATTCATACTCAAAATACATTTCTGCAAGTGATACCTATAGTTTTTATAAGCAGATGTCATCTTCAAAACACCGTCTTTAGAGATATGAAGATCAATCGGACAAAGCTGCGTTAACAACCGAACATTGTCTCCTGGAAATTAGTCAAATTGTTCATGTAATTTGTTGTGTTTGGTTTACTTGGTGGGTGGCGACGGATACTGGCTTGGCTTAACTTTGTCACTCAGGGGGAAATATACTTATAGGCATATAAGAAATTATATGAAAATAAGTCAAATTGTTCAAGTAGTTTGCTGTGTTTGGTTTACTTGGTGGGTGGCGACAGATACTGACTTGTTTAATTTCGTCACTCGGGGGGAAGTGCACTTATTGCCATACCTTTAATAACTAAAACACTGTATGTGCTTGCTCCGTATAATAAGAACGCCAACGGAACGGTTATCAAGCAATGACAATTACCTGGAATTCATCGATGACCCTGCTATCTAAGAAAGTTACTTTGGCCTGCATTGCCCTTCACATTCTGGTACATAACACATCTTCACCGTCGTCTTTCTCTGTCGGAATCTTAAATTGTCTCGGTACGTAATCCCAACAAACGAACTGTTCATAATTTATTGTGATTGGTACACACATTTAGGTAAATATTATCGTCATCCAGCCAAACTTCAATATGAAATGTGGGATTAAAATGTTATCACCCTCGTGCACCCATGTATCATATAGTGCATGAAATTACGCAATCTGAAAGGTAAACTTTTATATTTATATTATTTTATCAGGGGTAGGGGTTGAACTCTGAAATAATTAACTCTATATCATGGGCGTTGATCATCAAGAACAGCATCTTAGTCAATTTAAAGTATAAAACAAAGAGCATCGTTTGTCAGATACAGGTTGAGGAAATGTGTCAAACAAGACAGCAATGAACGAAGGGGACAATACCCAATCTCCTCAAAATAAACAAACAAATAAATAAATGGATTGAATTAATAAATAATAGTTAATAAAATAAAATAAAATAAAATAAAATAAATAACTTTTTGTCATTTGTGAAAGTACGATGTTCTGCATCCAGGAGATCATAACAGTACGCACGCTTTTAGACACGTGACTTACAAAGAACACATTCAGATGTTAATTGTGCATAGATTTAGGCACCTTTTCTACATCTATGGAAATCGATATGAAACATCAGATTTGAGGAGGTGCATGTTCATAATTTGAATAGATGAGAAACATATGGATATACATTGGTACTTTGTCACGTTATATACACATTTTATCTTGAATCGAATAAACTAAATCACTGTTTAAGTCATTGTAGCTATGATGTGACAATTTGTAAGCAAAACGCCATGGCACTGGAGGTATGACAACCTTTTTCACGAAAAGTGTACTGTAAAATTACGTTTGAAATTGGGTAACACGCTCTAATGAATCATCCCATTTTTATGATCTACCTAAAGGCTGCTTCTTCGGAATACTACAGAACAGTTTATTTACATAGATAGCTTGCCTGTACGTTTAGCTTCCGCCCTAGACTGTAGTCATTGTTGGCGTCTTCGTGCATATATTATCGTAAACACAAGAAATGGAGAAATGTGTCACTTATCATCTTCAAACTTACTGTAGTGATTAGACTTAGAGTTCCAAAACCAGCCTGGTTGTAATCCTTTTTCAAATTATGCATTTTTGTGAAGTTTAATTTTTCAACTGTTCTTTTCGGGGCTAAATTACAGCTAGTATGTCCAGTAATGAAATTACATGATCAAAATTGGTGGTGATCATACTGTTTAACGTTAGGTTATATTGCATCAAAATTGGCTAAAAATTCTACTCTGTGCACAGTCATCTACTTTTTGGTAGATCGCGCACTAATGAAACTTTCAGGACCAGTGGTCAAAATCCCTTTATGTAGAAATCGCCCTAAGAAAATCCAACACAGACAACAATAACTACTTTCAATTTTAAATGTAAACTCGTGTCGTACTCAGTTCACACTACACGATGGAAATAGTCGTGAGTAATCGAATTCTTTTAATCTTAAACCATGGCAAAGGATTCTTAAACTTAGTCTTCAAGCAGACTACCAAACAAGATGACTTAACCTCTTTAGACTTTACACTACGCATTACAAAAGGCATTTTAGAGAATTACATGTACATGACACACATTTCGTTAAGTTACTAAATGTGCTTGTGAATTATTAAATGTCTCCTACATACTCCTCCCTAGCTTAATCTGACTTGCATAAAGTTGAGTGGGCAGCTAATCCGATATGACACCAATTTGTACAAATTGAAAAACGTTTTTCTTGAAAAAGAGAGAAAAAAATTTTTCTCAGCGGAGTCGTTTAATGTTTTTCTTTTCAGAAATCGCATCGACGATCAATAACGCCCCAGTTTAACCCTCTATATATTTTGCGACCACCTACCTTGTGGAAACTATACCAAAAGAGTAAAAGCTCTCAACTGCTGAGAGGTTGTTTCAATTTTAGATATTACAGTGTCTCATTAATGTTCAACCCTGTGTGAGAAACTATCGAGGTTTTATGCGACATCACTTACTAATGGCGGGCATAAGTGGTTGGACTTTTTATTCGTCTAAGATGTGGTTGCTGAAATAGAATAGTAAAACGTTATCACTGGTGTGAACAAAAATTCTTTTATTGCCAGATATATAGTTCAAGATGTAGTTTTGTCAGGACGTGGGTGTGCAAAACCTCGAGAACATGAAAGACCGGGTGGAACAAGGCTTTACCTGCAGTGGGCACCAAGCATGTGAGGCCCAAAACTGGGGCAGTTGTCAAGGCAACTCAATTTTAAATTATTTTAATAATTAAAATTAATTAATGAATAACCACCAACATCTGATTTGTAGTTCTGTCAATTTCTGTTCCGCCCTGGATTTTTAAAATCAAAATCCATTTATCACTTGCAAGTACATGTGTATCTCAATCTTCACAGTCGACCTGGTCCAAGGTACAGTACAAATAATTCCCAGCTATTTGTGTAGACTAGTATCAGTGGACCCAAGAAAGAAAAATCAAGTTTACAGATAAGACAGGTCATTTTACTAGAAAGATTTTTATTTTTGACTAATCAAAAAAAAAAAAAAAAAAAAAAAAAATAAATATCAAAAAAAAAAAAAAAAAAAAAAAAAACTTTGGTATTTTTCAAACAAATTTAATCTCATCACCATGGAGACAGGTTTTGAGAGTGGTAATGCATTATGCATTGGCTTTGCACAAGAAGTAAAAATACATTTTGCAGCCCAGTCTAGAGGTCACAGCTCTTTACCCCCATGTTATGGTCAGATAAAAAAATCAGATTTGTTTGTTTTGTTACATTGTGATTTTTTAAAAGAGAAGACATTTTATTTTTATCTTTGGTCATGAATCAATAGTGTTTTCTTTAATTTAGGCTAAAATAAATAGATATGATTTACTTTTAAGAGTTCTACATGACAAAGTGTGACAAAGTCTACCAC